ATAAACAGTCATGACATTGTGAAATTTGCTGGTATGAGAAAGGAAGTTGGAGAACACAAGTTTAATTGAAATTGATCTCACATGGCTTGGCTTGGAGTTGGTACCTTCCCTAAATTTTTCAGGTCTTCCATGACAAGAAGAGTTAATTTGGTTTTGCTATGGAGGTGGAGCTGACCATGCTGCCTTTGGTTTTATTTTCACTGAGACAGTGAATGATGCAACTACCAATTTTTTAATCTTATTTTCTCCAGCAGCTTTTTATTTGTACACTATCTTAGAGAAGTTCATGTTAGTAATTGGATTTTCCAGCTTTGGCAGTGACATTTGAAACATGTCTAAGTGGAGGAACTTGTTGACATAGTGTAAAGGATGTTACCGTAACATATAACTGTTGATTTTTTTCGTTGTTTATGGTATGCAGATAGGTGACCTAGCAGAATTCACACAGATATGTGGATAGTAGGTTAAATAGTGATTTTCAGTGAGCAATGTTACCCTCTCTTTCCTAGTAGCAACCTGTAACAAGGCTGCAGGAGCAGGAGCACAACTACTCCATCTGTTTCATGTGTCGGCTGGTATGGTGGGTTGACCTTGGCTGTGTCCCGAGTGCCCACCAAGTCACTCTGTCACTCCCCCTCCTCAGCTGGGCAGGGGAGAGAAAGTATGGTGAAAGGCTCAAGGGTTGAGACAAGAACAGGGAGGTATCATTCAGGAGTTAGTGTCATGGGCAAAACAGACTCAGCTTGGGGAAAAAATTAATGTATCACCAATCAAATGAGAGTTAAAAAAGAACTAAACCCAAATCTTAAAACACCTTCCCCCCACCTCTCCCTTCTTCCTGGACTGAAATTCACTCCTGATTTTCTCTATCTCTTCTCCGCCACCAGCACAGGGGGACAGGGAATGGGATTTGTGGTCTGTTCATCACACGTTGTCTCTGCTGCTCCTTCCGCCTCACCTTCTGCCCCTGCTCCAGCATGGGATCCCTCCCATGGGAGACTCTTCCACAAACTTCTCCAACATGAGTCCTTCCCATGGGCTGCAGCTCTGCACAAACTGCTCCAGCCTGGGTCCCCCCCGGGGTCATAAGTTCTGCCAGCAAACCAGCTCCAGCCTGAGCTTCTCTCTCCACAGTGCCACAGCTCCTGCCAGGACACTGCTCCAGTGCGGGCTGGAGCCCCATTGGGCTGGAGCCCCATTGACAGCCTCCTTCGGGCATGCCCCTGCTCCAGCATGGGGTCTCTGCTTCCCCGTGACCCTCCATGGCTGCAGAGCACAGCCTGCCTCACCATGGGCTGCACCACGGGCTGCTGGGGAATCTCCACTATGTCCTTTTGGAGCACCTCTTGCCCTCCTTCTCCACTGCCCTTGTTGTCTGCAGAGGACGTGTTATCGCAGAGCGTTGTGACTGCTGCTGATGGACTCGGCCTTGGCCAGCAGCAGGTCCATCTTGGAGAGGGCTGACACTGGCCCTATCAGACACAGGGGAGGCTTTTAGCAATTTTCACAGAAGCCCTCCCGCTGTATCCCCCGCTACCAAAACCTTGCCATGCAAACCCAATGCAGCAGTGCCATATGGACATGTGTAACGAGAACATTCAAACCAGACATCTCCAGCCCTCTGCTCCCGAGGGAGCAGCATCCGCCGCTCCTTGGTAATCTGTTTACTGTGCCTTAGGGTATTGCAAGCGACGTTTTCTATATAAAGTACATGGTTAGGACCATTTGTTTAGACTTACAGATAAATAATTGCAAAGACTATATCTTTTGAAGAAACTGGAAGAGTGTGCCACTGCATAGTATTTTGTGACTGTTAACCCAGCTCATCTGATAGCCTCTGTAGTAGGTAACTGAGCTGAAAAAGCAAAACTAAGTTTGAAACAGGAAAAGAAAAGAAAAGAGAAGAGAAAAAGCTAGAGATAAAACAAACACAGACTGTTGCGTGGAAAGAGACAATGTTTTCTGAGAAGTCTCATACATAGGTTAGAAAAGGATTCCTGACCTGTGCCTGGCTGGTAACAAGGCAGGTGAACCAAATTCATGCTGACTTCCACAGCTTCCACATCCTTATTGACAGCATTTGCAATAACAGTAGGCTTTATATTTCCTTTTTCTCTCTCATACGATACTCTTTTGTACTATACAAATATTTTGGTTGTAGCTGATTCAAAAAATATGCTCTCATCTTTCTTTCCAGCCTGTCAGCAGGATAGTGACACAATGCTGGCTGTTGTTCTGAAACCTTGAGACGTTTTTATGACTTTCTTCAACACAGTTAGTACTCCATAAATTTCAGAAAAATTAATCCTTGGGTTTGGTAGTATGCTTTTTCATGTTGGCCCATTGAGATCCAAAATGTACTCCTTCCTCCACCCCTAGGGAAGGTTAAGTGGCGCCATCAAAAATTACTCCAAAACCCAACAGCTTTAAGAAGGCAGAATAAGAGCATTTGGACCATCAGCATAAGCAGACTGTGATGAGAAGGTACTGCCACTGACTATTGAAATGACCTGCTTGAATTCATATAGCCTTGCCTTTCTTTTTTTCCTTCTTTCTTTCTGTCCTTCTTTTTTTTGAAAATACAAAGGCTTTTGATACCATTGGGCAGCTCTTTCTGCATTTAAAAGCTCACTCAGATGCATACTGAGCAAAGTGTCTGAGTATCAGCTATGCCTTTTTGATCTTTTTTTTTTTGGATGACTCCTGCAGTGTTAGCTAGATGCTGCTTCTGTGGTGAGGAATAAAGCATGAAATGTGAAAACATGCTATACAGTTTATACAGCACCTTTCCATCCACTCGTGGTATCAACATTGCCAAAAGCTGCACAAACTATTGCTGATTTCTTAAATGGTGATTTTACGAATGTTCCTGAACAGGCCCTTCACTGGATGATAGAAGGAGATCTGTTGGCATGCATGTTAGATACTGAAGATTGAAAATAATGAGTAGGTTTTTTTGGTGGTTGGTTTTTTTATTTTTTAAAGAGAAAGCCTCCTGGAGTCAATAGAATTGAAAGACATGAATGATAGAAATGTTGAGCACATGAAACTGGAGACTTCTTACATAGCACGATATCCATGAAAGCATTGGATGCAGAAATTATACATGAACTAGCATGCTAGTGCTAGCAAATGAATATCAGAGAATACTATAATTTATAGCTCCTTTCACAATTCAGATCTTGGTGGCCAACAGTAACCTCCTTCACAAGTGTTTTATAACAATTGTCTTTTATAAATATTTACTGTTCACTGTCATCCCTAATGATCATCCCTGGGCACAGTGAAATGAAAAAGGGAAACTGTAATGCCCTCACCCCTAATTTCGCAAATGCTTAGCTTCCAATTTTATGAAGCACTAAAGTATTTCTGTCCTGTAATCTTTCATTTCAGTAGTGAAAAATTGAATAGATGCTGCTATTTAATGTAATGAAAAATAATCACAGTGCTCCTGAAAGCAATGTAGCAGAAGATTCTCCTAACAGAAACTCTGTAGTAAACACTCCACTAACCTGATCTGCAGTACTTGGCGGGCAGGGGTCTTGGGGTTTGTGCTCTAGCAATCCCATTTTACTGGTCAACACAGAATTTTAATTAAACATAGCCTACAGGCTGCATCTGAAATGGAAAAATGAAATTAGAGCATAGCCTTACATAGAGTTCATATCTATTATGGTACACTAAGGTAACTTTTTATTTCCTTTTTTCTGAACCCATTACAATTTTATGATGTTAGATAATCAGTGGTTCAGTCCATGCAATGAAAAGTGGGTTCTTCATAATATGTCCAATTCATTAAATTTTTACAGACTTTTACACTAGAAAATGGGATTTGCCACTTGCCTTCTCAATAGTTGTGCCAGTTCATACAGTTATGTGTCATTACTTTACGAAAAAATAGGCCAATAGGTTAATAGTAAATCCTCAGATTATTTCAGATCTTCATAAATATGTAAAATATAGTATGTCGTCTGCATCTATATACTTTAAAGTGTATATATGTACATAAAAATAGCTAAATTTGGGCAAAACATATAGGGTTTTTTTTTAATTTCATAGATGAAAAAACCTCCATCTACTAACATACTTTGAGGAAGAGTCTTATGCACACATTTGTGTGTGTCAGTGTGCGTGCATGTGTGTGTGTGTATTTTTATGTACAGATTTTACCAGTACCTACCTCACTTTTCCCTAAGGGAATGTAATTTTAGATAGCCAGATATGAAAGCAACATTAATTAGGGGAAGAAAACCTTGCAAGGTTACATGAAAATAAAATGTATCTATAGTATTTAATCTAATCCTTAATATTCATTCTGTGTCAAGGGTTAGGTAAAAGCATCATTTTTTTCAGAGCAAATTGTTGCATTATTTATCATGCATGCCTTGGAAAAGAAACTTACTGTAGGGGCAGTACAGGATTTGCGCGTCAGCTGCTTTCTGTTTGAATACTCACGGTTCCATTCCACAGTCTTGTGTCATGATACACAGAACTTTGTGGAAGCCATTTAGGGTCAACCACCTATAGGTTTTACTGAAGTTCTGAGCAGGACTTTTTACTGTTGCTCTGGAAAGAGCGACAGCAGGGTCTAACGCTTGGTGACTTGGTGAGCCAGTGACGTGCCCTTGCAGCAAAGCAGTCCAACAGCCTCCTGGGCTGCGGGTGACAGAGCACCGCCAGCTGATGAAGGGAGATGATCCTTCCCCTCCACCCAGCACTGGTGAGACACAGCTGGAGCTCTGGGTCCAGTTGTGGGCTCCCCAGTACAAGAGAGACAAGGACATACAGGAGAGAGTCCAGTGAAGGGCCACTAAGATGATTAAGGGCCTGGAGCACCTCCCCTATAAGGAAAGGCTGAGGGAGCTGGGACTGTTTGGCCTGGAGAAGAGAAGGCTCAGTGGGGATTTTATCAGTCTAAATAAAAACATGAAGGAAGACGGAATCGGGCTCTTTTTCGTGGTGTCCAGTGACAGGACAGGAGGTAAAGAGTACAAGCTGAAATGCGGGAAGTTCTAAAAGAAGTTATTAATTCTCTGAGTGATCAAACACTTGAAGAAGTTGCCCAGAGGGGCTGTGGAGTCCCCATCCTTGGAGACACTCAAAAGCCAACTGGAGATGGTCCTGAGCAACCTGGTCTGTGTGACCGTGCTTTGAGCAGAGGGGTTGGGCTAGACAGTGTCCAGAGGTCCCTTCCAACCACAGCCCTCCTAGGATACTGTGACCTGCTTCAATACCTTATTCTGCATTTATTGCTATGAAGTGACAATAAATAAATAGCCCTGACAAAAGCAGTTCAGAGTGCGGACTTGTGAAGATTTCAAAGCTAACAATGTTCTAAGAACTGATTATCAACATTATGGAAGTCCTTGAGTAACATGGAGTTCCTCACCTGCCAGTGTCTGGCAGAAGGTTGTATCCTTCGCTGCAGTATTGGAATAGGTTGAGCAGGGATGTCCTCTGAGAAATTTGACATGAAGGCCACAGCAGTCTGAGCAGGTTCACTAAAGAAATGATCAGCCATTACAGATGCATTTAAAGGAGAAGTAACAAGCAGAGATTAAGCAATTTCTTAATATTGGTTTTTTAACTCTTTAATCTCCCTATTGCCAGTCAGAATTTACTTTCCAATTTGCCTTTTAGAGCACATTAAAAAAAAAAAAGGAAGTTCAAATCATCTAAGTATACTTCTTTAAGGCCAGTTAAATATTTAAGGCCAGTCATACTGACTGCGTTCAGTATGAGCTACAGCAGTTCTGCTCTGTCTAGTTTGGTACTCATTGTCTCTGAAAGTAAAAAAAGTATGAGATAGGAATTCCAAAATCAAATTTCCTTATATAATCTCCGTACCAGCCCCGTACATTGTGTTATAGTCTTTAACTGCACAAAAATTGATACCTGTGCGTGATGGGAATGCCTATCCCTTCATGAGCCTCCTCCATTTAAGTCATCACATCTAGCACTGCTTTCTGCATCAACTGAGATACTTGTAACATCCCTCTGGTGCCTTTTAAACAAAAGATGAAGTTCTGTTGGCAGTATAATAATTTTTTAAGCATTCAGTGTGAGTGATGATAAAATATATATGGGTATATATGTGACAGTTAGCTTGTACATGAACACAGATTTATTTTCAAGATCTTCAAATTAATGTATTAAACATTTTAATTGTTAATACTGGAATGTTTTACAGATCTCTGTTTTTGCAAAATGTTGTTAGTTTTACGGCCAGAAGATGCTATAATATTTTGGCTTGTACTACCATGTACTACTATGTACTCTGATGTCCCTGATGTATAACTAACCTTTGGAACAGGTTGCCTTTGGAGGCTGTGGGATGGCCATCACAGTAAGACGAATAGTTAAAACTTCTCAGTAACATTTTGGTATACCCTACTGTACTTACATGGCAGGAGGCAAAGAACTTCTTTGTATGTACCTGTTTGGGAAAACAGAATGCCCTCATTTCTTCCAGCGGTGATGTCATACAAGATGTGCTACAGTTGTTGGCTGGCACAGCTGTTCGCACAATAAAGTAGTTCAATGTGTTGTTCTAGAGACAGATCTGTGTTTGCATGCAAATTTTCAACTTACTACTACTTGTGGCTTCCATGGTGTGTGTTCAAGATTTGGCATTTGCTTTGGTCACTTACTCTAATTTCACTATCATGTTATTTCCCTTGACACCCAGCAAAGATCCAGAGTTTTGTTATTAGAAGGCTTAGCATTCTGTACTGCATTTACTGAGAGAGATAACTCTTTGTTTTTCAGAGCTTCCATATGGCTGGGAGAAAATTGATGATCCCATTTATGGCACTTATTATGTTGAGTAAGTTCCCAAGTTCAATATTAAGTTGCTGTTAATATGTCATAACCTAATGCTAGTATCCTCTGCAGTGCTTAGCCTGGCAAGGCATGGTTATAATTACTTGACATGTTAAACTGAGGGTATACTTAGTCATCAATGCAGCTAATGAGTCCCAACATATTCAGTGTGTTGCAAATCAGTGACTCAGGCATTCAGTCATTCTTTTTTTCCAGGGTCTGTTATCATGGTATCATTCCAGCTAATACTTGTACAAAGATCATACTCATTAAAGTTTTGGGGCTTTTTTAATTTCTATGTTAATATTTGGATATCCAGTGAGGTAGAGATGTTGTTAATCAATGAATAGAGCAAATTATAATTATTTTAGCTCAGTTAAGATCCTTTTCTGGGTAGTCCTTCCTTGCTGCAGTTTATACTGTTTTTACCAGAAGGCAGGTTATTTATGTGCTGCATATAAAATTTTAGGGATGTTGTGTTTTATTTTGTACTTAAAAGTGCAGCTGAAAATAAGGGAATATAAATATCTATTTTCACAGAACAATCCTTGCTTTCATTTTTTTCCATTTTTATTTTAGTTATGAAACAAGAAGAAATATTCTTGCTCCTCTGTGCAAAGGGGAACAGAAAGCTTTTGTTTGAAGTACTAGGTAGAACCTGTTCTGGCCAGTTCCTACAAAAAATAAGTAAATCAGAGAGATGATATTTTCTGCTTTTTAGCTAAATACAGTGAGTGAGACTTACACAAAGTGAATCTAGATTCAAAATTGTGATACCTCTTCGGGGCGGTCAGTTCTCACTTTTCTCTCTACACAAAGTATGTAGGCAAGGAGGCAGAAAGCCACTCCCTGTCACTGTGCAGACAGTGCTTGAAAGGTCGAGAAAGGTCTATCCATTAGTTCCTTTTATTAAACAACAGACATCTTCACAGAAGGTGGCCCCTGATTTAAAAACTCAATTTCAAATCCTGCCACTTGAGCAGTACATTTTTTCTAGTTGTTTCATACAAACCAGAAAATTTTAGTTTGTGTGACACATTATTTCCTTGGCCTCTTGAATCCTTACCAACATGTTGACTGCAGAATCACTCTCCAGATATGGGGGTTGCAGCTTTTCCAGACCTCAGGATATCCTACTGTGAACATACACAGGGTAGAGCTGGACAGGGATCATAGATCTGTTTTCTGGAGGGTTAGAAGATTAAGATTCCCTTTTCTTTACTGCTGTAGCAGAAGCAGCTTGTGGATACCCACACACCTTCCCTAGCCCTCCTACAAAGAAAACAAACAAATGAAATCAGTGTTTGGCCACTGCCCTGCTGACTCCTTCTGTCCCATTCTCCAAATGCAGTAGCACCTGCTCTGCTTCTTTGTCCCTGCATTCTTCCCTGCCCTCAGGTGAAAGAGCCAGCAGCCCCATCTGCCTTGCTGCTGAGCCCTCATCAAGCTTAATCAGTCCAGAATCAAGCAAAAAGTTGGGTAATTTTTTTAAGTCCCTATGTAATGCCATTAAATTACCCTCTCTATTTATGCCCGAGTTCTTTTACGATGTCCCCGAGTAACTAGGGGCTGGAGTTCATGTATCTCTTCATACTTACCCCCCTCCTGAAGATTTCTACACATGCAATTATACAGCTGCTGGGTGTAAGTCTTCTGCCCCAGTCCTTTTTAGTGTATTTTGGTGAGTGACAGGTGTTGTGCAATTTCTGGGCATTAATCTCTTACTGAGACCCTGCTCTGTTAGTGCAGCCCAAGGCATTCTGGCACGGGTGAGGCTCACACTCCACTGCAGAGTCAGAAAAAGAACCTGTATTTATCTCCATTTCATGTCCACCCATAGGTAAACAGACACAAGTCACCAGGCCCAGATGTTGTTCGGCAGTTACATACTTCAAGGCTGTTAGTGCCAAATCCATGAATCCCACCACAGATAAGATTTGTGGAAAGATATATCAAACCTACTGCAGGCTCAGAGGTTTTTAGAAGTGGAATGGATGTTCACAGGATGGCATTAAAACTGCAGCCACGCTATGTTCATAAGGAGTTTTATAGTCAGTAAAATGGAGCTGTACTTCAATTTGGTGTCATATTTTAATTTGCTATCTGAGCTCAATAAGTTTGAAACAAAGATTACTTTCCATATTTCATGCTAAAAAGTGGCAGTCACGCCTTTTTTATTACCAGTATTCAACAGATGGGTTCAGTTTTAACTAGATAAAATCAGATAACAATAAACTCTCAATTATGTCATAAAAGTGGGTAAATCATGAAAAGTTATGTTATGAACTTTCACACATTCAAGTTCGGTCCAAATTTACATGCAGGTCTTTAAATCTGTCAGTGAAAGAAAGGCTTGTATACTCTGCTCGCTGAAATATCTGTATCCCATGGGAAGTTTGTAAAGATGAGCAATGAGGCAGACAGACTCAGGTTCACCTTACAAGAGCCAGCCATGCTCAGCTCCAGTTCTCTGAGGCCAGCGGAAAAGCTGAAGAAGAAACAGAAACCTTAAAGGTCTCGCTAGCAAAGTTAATAGAGACTAATCACAACAGATTTGCAAATTCTATTAAAAAATAAGGTCCCCAATATAACTTTCTCTCTTAATCATGCATGAATGTAGGTGTGAGACATTATTGAAATTTTCATTTGCCTTGTTATGCAGGTCCAGGCTTCATTCGTAAGTTGTAGGCATTTGACAGAACTGAGAAGTGTATCCTATACATAGGTTAACTTTCATGCAATTTTCTCTTAATTTATAAACTAAGAACTAGCAGCACTTAGCTGTGCAGGGCGATGGAGGGAATGTGGTTATTAGAGTGCACTGGGTCTTTCAGCATTCTAATTGCCAAAAGATTATTTCCTCCTTTAAGGATGATTAACTACAAGACAGAACTTACAAGACAGAACTCAATTTCCAGACATAGTCTCCTTAATACAACAGCTAAATCAGCCATACAGGTATTTATTCTGGAAAAAATGTACATCTCTGACTCAAAATTTCTGACAGCTCTCTAGTTAATACTCAAATAGAAAAACTTACTTCAGGTCTTTTTGTCGTTATAAAGTATTAGCAACTGAAAAATGTGAATGTAAATAGGAGTTAGGCATTAACAAGTTATACATCAGAATGTCCATCTTTTAGGCATTCTGATCCTCAGAATTACTTTGGTGGGTTATAGGCAACAATTTCAAAAGTTAGAGTCACAAACTACCCGAAAACCATATATTAAAGTAGCTAAGAAAAGGATATAGGTTAAAGTCCTCCTGATGATGCACATGCTTAGATGTGCTACCATTTTGATAGGGCTCATTATCTTGGCCATCAGCTAAAATTTGCCAACTAGGCATTACTTCCCATGAGTCTCCTAAGAATGTGTTTCAGTTGTCTTAAGCACATCCAATATGAAACTCCATCACAAAACCAACTTAGCAGAATGGTGCCGATGTCTTACAGGCTGGCTGGTGGTGACAGTACCTATTCATAACACAAAAGATCCTATTCTGACTTCACAGCTAAATGCAGCCCCAAATCACATCCTACCTCTGAGGGGTTGTCCCCAGTTAGCATATGATGACCTAACAGAGGACAGCAGGACCAACTACCCCTTCTTCTCTGCAGAGGGAAATTCAGGGTTCCTAGGACTAGAAAGAAAAAAAGGCAGCATGATTTTTCTGCACAGCCACAGTGGTGCTAGGAGAAATTTGTTGGATCCTCGTCTTTGGATTCATCTTTTATGTTTAATATGCATTGTATAAAATAAGGGAAGAAAAGTGAGGATAGAAATGCTCACTGAATTAGGTGTTATGAGCAATGAGCTGATGATTGCATCCAAAATCTATTTTAACCAGAAAAGCACTTACTTGTAACCATCTCTAAAACTCACATTTGGCGTGTCTTAGTAAGGCCTAGGTTAGTAAAATCTATTTTGTGTGCAGTTGAAGTAGCTAGATGAAAAGCTAGAATGTCCTTTCACCAGAGCTACTTAGCTTAATAAATTCTTTCTCAGGTAAAGTCATCAGGAACAATTTTTCTGATTTAGCCATGAAGCTGAATAGCACTTAAAATTGCTTGAAAGGGAAGTGGTTCATGTCTCATCAGCCTAGGAGCATAGATCCAGTGTTAGTGACTGATAAAAATGACTGATTATCACTACAATTTTCTTTTCTTTGTCTCCTCTTGTATACACTATTTAATGCTGTTGTTTGAATTTGTTGGAATTCTCACATTGTACTTTTGAGACTTCACACTGCCATAAAACATGGAATAAACAAGTCGTGGGAATAAAATGGAGCTAAGAATTATTAAGGTTGCACCAACAATTTGAGGTGCTTCAAGTACCTCTGCCAGTCTTCCTCTCTGATCTGCTAGGACAAAAATGTCATTTTCAAGATAGCCATTACTGAAGACATTTCTGTGTAAATGGAATAAACTGCAGCTTAAGCTCTACCTAGAAACTGTCGAGAGGCAGGGGACAACAAATTCTAGCTGTCACGCCAGTACAGCTGTGTGAGCCGACACAGGTCGGATGCAGGAACGACCACAAAACCATGGATGAAATGCAAAGAGTAAATTTATTTCCGTTACCTCACGAACTGGGGGATCCCCAAAGCAGCACTCAGGCAGAGGCACGCAAGGGGGAACACAGAGAACACGGAGCTAGAGGATCGCCAAACCTGCTGTTTTCACCTGTTTACCAGGGTTTCCCGCAGGCGTAGTTTGCCGTTGTACTCTGTTCTTTCCCACTGCGGGGCAGGAACCTCAAGCATGTTCAGTAGGGTGCCTCTGACTCCATCAGAGGCCTGTATTATCTAAACACAGATGTTCTCCTTGTCAAGCACCCAAGACTAAACAATGATTAGTGTGATATATGTGACTTTTTACATCCCAGCTGCAAGTCACTTGGGCGTGTGTACAGTCCTTCTCAGCATTCTTCCATTATCTTCCCACAAACACGGGAACTGATGTTCCTTGAGCCATGGACACAATCCTATATTAGCTAAAATCCTACCTTTTTAATGTCACAGAACCCCATATAAGTTGTAACTTAGATCTGGAAGAGGCCTCCGATGGCACGGAAATATGCCCTGCAATTACAGAATGACATTAAGCATAGATCAAGGTCCTAAATGCAGATGTGTAGTGTGATCTTGCATATCCATTACATCTGTGTCGTGCAAAAGCTACAGGAAACCCTGTTTTTCTGGAAGGGCAGCTAAAGACCAGGGCAGGATACTTCAGAGCCCCTAAAATAAGACATGATCCCTATGTTAAAGCAATTAACTCAGCCCACTGTGTAGCAACCCTGTTTTTAACCTTAACAAATGATAACGGAAAACAAGCTAGACATTTTATCCCCTATCTGCTACTGGAAACTGTTTCTTAATTTCACACTTATGCTTCTAAGAAGCTTACAGATTTCAAGTCTGAAATCCTGACATCTTTAATACATTCTAGTATTTACTTCCAAACGTATTCAAAGAATGCAATTATATATCAGAATTAATTCTGCTTGAATACAAAGCTAAAACTCTTTTGGTCTTCTATCATAGATGACACTTTCTTTCACTGGTCTTCCTGTAAAATCTTTTCTATGGATTCATTTTATTTGGTGATGAGTGATCAGAACTTTGTGTAGTATTTCACGCATGTTTCATCACTGCCTTGTGTAGTAACAAAAGCAGTATTTCCTTTACAATATTGAAATACATCACAACAGCTGGTAGCATGAAGATTACCTTTTTCATGCTTATGTTAGTAGTTCATATTTACCCTACTTACTGCATGGAAGTCTTGTCTTTCTCCACTTTTAACTGGTGAAGTTCATCTCCCTTCCGTCATATGTTTTGAGGTTTGCAACAGACTTAGGTGCTGAAGACCCTGACAATTACAGCATGGTCTAACTAGAAAGCCAAAGTCTAGGAACATAAAGCCTACAATCTTAAAGCTTGTCTGAGGAAGGAAAGAAACAAAAGGGATTTTCTCTGTCTGCATCATAGACTAAAATTTACAAGAAAACTATTAATAAAAATTTTAGAGTACGAGGGCAAGTTAGCAGGCACTTGAGTAAGTTATAGCCATGTTAAAAAGTAGCAATTCCGGGATTTATCACATTTACTTCCCTTCATTAAATCAAATATGCTTTTACATGAGTCTTGCACTCCCATAGGACTTGTTGTTTCTTCTACCTCACTTCTTAATGGCAATTCCACTTACTTTCTTTGAAGCACTGTTAGGATCTGAATCCCAAGGGACCTGAAAAGTGCTTAATATGGCATAAAAAGTCATTTTGGTATAAATTGAAGTTATTCGACCCTTTTTAGGATCACAGAGTCTTAAAAGTTCTCTGGTCAGCTCTTCAAGTGCTGAAAGCCCATGACTGGGATTGGATTTTCAGGCCTCAGTGCATGGTAGCTCAGTGAGAATGGGTAAGGAGTAACATGTTGGAAAACCTGCCCTTCTGTACATATGTATTTATTTCCCCAGAACGATGCTTGCAGCACAAGCCCCTTTTCTCAGTTGTGGTCCCATTGTGATCCTGTCTTGTACTAAAGACATGAGAAACTGTTGTTGTAGCATGCTTCAGCAGTACTGCTGTTTACTATGTAGTTCCACAGATCAAAACCATTTGTGTGTAGCAGAGTTCAGCATATTGAAATGATAGGACCCTTCTCAGTGCTGTTCATTAGCATCAGACTGTGCATTTCTCATCCCCAACAAAACTGTGTGGAGTAGAAGGGACATGCTCAGGCCCATTGGGTTTCCATAACGGTTTCGCTCTCTAACCGCACACACCTAAGTCACATACAGCATCCTACTGTGAAAATGATCATTTTCCCCAACTGCACCCAGTTTTTAATCAAAACCAAATTTTTTCCAGCCACATAAATAGAAGAACACAATTTGAAAACCCTGTCCTAGAAGCAAAAAGGAAGCTACAGCAGCATAACATGCCCAACGCAGAACTTGGAACAAAGCCTATGCAGGCCCAAGGTTTCCGAGGTACAGTACCATGTCAGCTATCTTAGTTAAGATGAAAGATCCTGCTCTCCTGTTTATGTGACAATGATTTTGTCATAGTCTGATTAAAAGAGTAGTGCTGACAATTCTCACTATGTTACCACCTATTTCCTAGCATTTTCCTCCCTAAATGTCCGAGCTCTGAGTTGCAGGACTTATGAGCCGCCCAAAATACTCAGAGAAATGACAGAAAAGGTGACCCTAGTGTTTCCTAAAGGCTGAGAAACAGAAACCACAATAAGTCCCCCAAGTTATTTTCTAAATAAAATCATAAATTCTATTTTTGGGAATGTACAACTCTCTCCTGAGCACGGGAGGTTGGAAATGCTGAAATAATTAATTGTACTTTCTCTAAATTACCGTTAATTGATGTTTGGTATGTTTCTAAGCTAGCTCATCTAGCAAGCATCAATTAAGTTAAAAGCCTCAAGCACTGTGTTAGAGGGGTTTACAAGAATACAGCCTCTTGGTAACATAAAAATTAACGTGATTAATAAAATGAGCTGTATAAGCAGCAAACAGTATTGGTAGAGACGAATAAACTTTAAAATAAGATTATAGCCAGAGAATGAGGCTTGTTCTCCTTTGTAACAGTAGAAAGCTCCTCATCAACCTTACCTAGACCCAAACTCGCCCACCCGCGCCTCGCTCCCAAGAGGTCCCGCAGCATGAATGACCTGCCCCAGTGTCGGCGCGACCCTGCCGGGACGCGCAGGCTGCACGGTACGTCCTCTGCTGCCGGCCAGCCCACCCCCACCGCTGCAGGCGTAGCGAGAGCAGCTGAACTCACAACCTTTGCACCTTCCTCCCAGCCATCCCCACCAAGGGCAGCACCGGGGAGGGGCACGGGGAGCCCCCACCACCCACACCGCACACCGAGGCACGGGGAGAGGGCATGCGAGGGTTGCACAGCAGTTACGTGTGTCACTTCTTGGATGCCAAAACCCCGCGTGTTTGGAAAGAAAAGCTCACCTGATACTTAGCCCTGCTTGTTTACAAATGGAATAAGATATTCAGTGGATATTTTCCTTATTGAGGGTGGGAGGGAAATTATGGAGAATGCATTACTTTGTCGACAAAGCTGAATTTATTGGTTAGGAAAGAGGTTTTAAAATTACCTCACAGATCATTTTTATTGTTGTAATTATTTTAGCTACACAATATCCACTTCTAAATGTATTTCTAATATGAAAGAACATTTATAACTCCCCATTTATGGATGAACTGTCATAGATAAGAAATGTGGTTTAAGCTTTGTATTAATATAAGTACTCACAAATTTTTTTTTTTCCTGGAATGCCTGCACTCTTTATTTCCTTGATTTTCATACACTGTCACCTGCTGTCAGCCAGTATTGTTATCTGCTGTCCCTGCTGTGTTGTGACTAGATCAGAACTTTTGTCTTTCTTCTTTGTGTTGACTGATGTAGAAAAACCACTCTTCACCCGTGATGCGTCACAGCTGAAGGGGACTTTCCTCAGCACAACTCTTAAGAAAAGCAACATGGGTTTTGGATTTACCATCATTGGTGGGGATGAGCCAGATGAGTTTCTCCAGGTGAAGAGTGTAATTCCTGATGGGCCTGCAGCACAAGATGGGAAAATGGAAACAGGTAATTAAGATGGTTCCTCTGTTCTTTTATATGACAAGTAGAATAAGACATAGATTTCTGAGTTCCCCTCCCTTCATGAAAGCATACATGTTCCCATATTACTTTTCTGTATTAATGTGTAATACGTCTGCCTTATAAGATAAACTTCTCAGATGAAACTTTCTTTTTATTTTTCTTTCCAATAATGCCAAGTAGCTTATTTTTTCCCATTTCACATTATTTTAAGGGAGAAAACAGCTCTGCATTTTCCTACGTAAAAATGGGATGTGATGTTCTTTGGTTTATAGGCTGTTTATTCAAGAGGAGTCTGTGTATGGAAAGAACAAAAAAAGACAGGCAGAGAGCGCAGACTACTAAGTGCAAATTTATTTCTTTAGAAAGGATGGTTTTGCAAAATAATGAAAATCGAGTCTGATCCAACATTGTTCTCATTAGAACCATCAAAACAAGAGTTTTCAGTGTGACATATGGACACGTAGGCATCTGTGGCCTACTATTAAAGAATCTGTGAAAACTAAATAAATAAAAGAAACTTCCTTTGAAGAGATTTAAAGCTACTCTTGAGATCTGGACCACCACTGGAAATATTTTCCTGTCCACAGATTAATAAAGGTTGCAGACCACTCTCTTAAAGGTTTGGAGGGTCACATCAGGTCTGTGAATTTTGGAGGAAGGTTAATTCAGTTTCCAAAGCAGCTGTCATCTCCTGCAGGAGAAGACAATCAGAGAACAATAGAATCATTTCAGTTGTCAGGGACCTCCATTCACCAACCTCCTGCTCAAAGCAGGGCTAACTTCGTGGTTAGACCACATTGCTCAGGGCTTCGTCCATGGGACTTCAGAAAATTTTATAGGACAGAGATCCCACGGCCTGCCTGGGCTCCTGTCCCAGTACACAACCACGCTCATGGTGGAGATTTTTGTTCTTTAGGTCCAATTGGGTTTTCCACTAGTGCAGCTGATTACCAGTGACTGTAGTCCTGTGTTCATGCAGCCCTGTCGCTGTGCACCGTCCTCCCCAGCAGTCCTTGTTCCTCAGATACTAGTCAGGCTGCACATTGGTACCGGAATGTGCACAATTTTTCCTTCCATTTCTCACCGAGACTTTGTAGAAGAAATTCTAATTTGGGATTTATGTTGTCTTCGCAGCAAACGAGCTCATGGTGGCCAGAGTCACTGTGAAGATAAGACAATTTTGTAGCCTGTAACAGATTACTGTAGATGGACCACAGCACAGGGCACGGTCGTTTTGGTGTGTTACAGTACAGGAGGGAGACACATAAACACACACAGGCACCAATAATGTGGGTGGAATAGTCCCAAGTTATTCTTCTGGAAATTTCCTTTCATCCTTCTTTTGTTGTGGCAAAGAAATTGGCTGGTCTATCTTACATCAGAATAAATCACCCTGAACTCTAGTTTATTCTGTAGGGTTCTCCAGGACTTTGCAAATAGGAAATGGGAAGGTTGTGAAAGGCTTTATTTTTAAAAACACCACAATTTGCCTCAAGTCTTATATTACAGCTGGCATGATGTTTCTGATGCCAAATAGATAAACAGATACTTTATGTAAAGAAGTAAAATGTAAGAAAGATGTAGAATATAGATTCTTGGCATTGGTCTTATAAAAAAAAATTAGCCTAACAGCTTTTTAATTCTCAATTCTTATTGCCATTTTAACTTAATGCAATTTGGCTCCCAAAGGCAAAATGTAAGTAGCTGATTTAGTGAACAAAGGATACAACAGACTTCCTGAAGTTCAGGAGATTTTAGTAACGTGAACTTCATTTTGTCTAATATTTTCATACTACCTAGTAAACTGCACGAGAGATTTTTTGTTCCTTTTCATGGTTTTGCGTACTCAGATACAGCATTCAAATATAGTTGTTTGCTAATCCATGTGAAGTGTGGGCTGGATATTGGTGAACTTCTTCATGTGGAGTTCTTTTCTCTGGAAAACAATGTGTCCTTGCATCTTACTTAAATTTTGATGTTGAAAATAAATATGGGTGTCATAATGCTATGATGATTGTTGTGGTCACAGATCGTTGTCGAAATATACAGGGAAAATGTCCTTTAAAATACATAGAAATAGCATAGATTTTTTTTTCCCCAAGATAATTAATTTCACTATATTAAGAGTGCAAGACAGAAATGTACAAATATATAATCACTCCATAATTATGTGAGCCCGATACGTACAAAATTACATCTCAGAATAAATTCTGGCCTCAAATGTCTTCATTTTGAGAAGAATGACAGGGTTCTGATGTAAAGTAATTGGAGAATCTCAGGCTAATGATTGTGGCGTCTAACATGGTTTCTATGAACATTTGAAGTGATTTCTACGTATGGTAATGGTAAAATGATATTTAAGGTCAGAATATTTATAAAAGCACTGTTCAGCAATGTGCTTGTATTTCCTGAGATCCAATACTTTTCACACTTCCTGAAGTAGGATTTCTCTCCCTATGCAGCCATCTTACACTCTAAACAACTGGAGATATGAAAGCCTCCCAGGTTCCATCAAAGGCCTTTTGTTCATAAAGCTATTAGAATTTTATGTTTTAATACTATTTGAAATTACATATGTACCTTTAGTTTGTTAGGTAGGCATCACTGGATGATGAATAGAGCTTTTAAAAAAGATTTTATTTATTATTTTGACATGAACTGTCTGGTGTTGCTCAATTTATGTGCTCTCCAGCTACAATCACAGTCAAAGGAAGCTTTGATAAATGATCAAAATAGCATATTGTAGCACTAGGGCATCATGTAAAAAGCTTCAGGACAGTGGCACTATGATCTGTGAAGCAACCTGGGTGCTAGTGCTCCCAGCTGTAATACAGCTCTGGAGTCTTTCCCTTGCAAGACTGATATTTTGGGGTTTTTTGGCCAAGTGGTAAACAAAATTCCAGTGCATCACATACTGGGGAAAAAAGAAAAAAAGGCACCATCTCCTTCATCTCACCTGATCTTGGCCATGGGCTGAACACACCAATGCTGTACTTCAACTTAATTATTAAAGAAACAAGCTCATAGAAAACTAATATTGTAACTTTGGTTTATTTCTCCACGCAAAATCTAATCTAGGGGTCAGATACAAATGCTGTTCAAAAGAAGGGTGAATCTATGTAAGATGTTAATTTCACCTTTTTAACATGATCTCGACACAGTGACTTCACCTGCAGGTTTCAAAATGAAAAACTTTTGGATTTCGACCCTTGGGGCATAGAAGCAGCTGCCTGACAATGACTTGGCATCCTTGTGCCGCTACGAAACAATTAAAGCAGTGAGGCAAACTGAGTGCATGAGATACAACAAGAGATATCTCAGGTCCTGGTGGTCTAACACCACTACTCAGAGCACAGTGCTGGGCACTGAGAGGTAGCTGTAGTTGTCCCAGACCCACAAAAAACCTCACAAGCAGACTCAGAGGAGCCACATCTCAGTGGATGAGTCAAAACCAGCCAAAATTACATTCCTGATGCCATTTGCCAGATGTTTCAGGATTCCTAAGGTTATTATGCCCTCATGTAAATCTAGCATCTGTGAGCTAATGGCTGTTAATAACACTGCAAATGCCTTCCTAGGACATGCTTTAGCATTTGGAGCTCAATCAAGCTGCTGGATATGAACATTACACTCCACAGCATCTCTGTTTACCTCAAGACAGCCTAGGAGCTGATACCACATTCTTGCCTGAGAGGTTACATTGCTTTGTCTTGTCTGAAGCCTCACGCTGCCTGTAGAAAACTGTCTGGATTTAAGAGGCCTCTGTATCCCATTAAAATGCTGCGTGAACATCACTGGTAAAAGACTGCATCTAAATGAAAAGATTTTTATACAGTGAGTGATTTTGAATGACTGCTGTTCTAAGGCAAACAAAGATTTAGGCCTGCGGCTGAGATAGATAAAAACTCAAGCTGCAATAGCAAAAACTTCCCCACAATTCTCAAGGTTATTCAATGGACTAGATAAACTGAAACACTTCCACATAGCCAAAACTGGGAAAGATCCTCACTCTGCGCATTTCAGCAAGTTTCCGTTTCTCTGGTGAAAAGTTTCAGGAAACAGCGTAAAGTCATGGTGAACAAGTGATTAATTGAGTCTGTTGATGACAATTCTGACTGGTGAATAGCATCGGGTTGACCTTTCCAGAAACGTGTATATATCTGTGATGAATTGTCATAGCTCAGCAATGTGAATCAAGAAATGGGAAATATTTTCTTTCATTTCATCATTTGACACGCTCCAAGGTGCTAAACCATCTGTAAAAAATGCAGATTTGGGCTCTTTTAGATGCTATTCTCTCACAAATGGTAGCTACACTATACTAGTTAATCTGTTCTAGATAAAAATTCCTAAATGTAAGATGTTTCAGCTAACAAATAACAGATGTCTACAAGCCCGATATCAACACTTACCATGAGCAGACATCTACCACTTCTAGATGACTGTATTAGGATGAAGACTACAGACTAGACATCTAGACTCTGCAGATCAGTCTCAGTTTCTACTGCACCTGAGAGTTCTCCAAAGGGAGTGAGCCAGCTGTTAGAAATATTGGAAGGAGTGACCCATGGCCTTGCTGCTATCCATGGGCCTCCCGTGTTACGAGAACCGTAACAATCTTCTGTTCATGATGAATCTTTCAAGAAGCTGAGGTTACTCTAAATCTAAGCAAATTGGAGAGGCTGCACACTTGTTGACCTACAACTCTTAAAACTAGTTACTCACTGGAATAAGATCAAAAGTAAAGCCTTTATCAGGTGACTGACTCTACAGTGTCACTAAGCTTAGGGAATAGTTATCCAGTCATTATTCATGCGTATTTTTGTACAGTAAGGCTAGTATCTCACAACCTCTGTAAAAAGTGGAGTACTCAAAAGGAGTTGAGGACATCTGCAGAAGAATGCTTTTTACAAGTCCAAACAGATCCTTAATTCTCTTCCCTGTTTGTCCATTGTCAGTTTAGATGAACAAACCATTTTCTCACC